ACATGAAAACTACATTAGTGTTTTTACTCCTCCAAATCAGCAGATACTAATCGAAATGAAAACTGAGAATAGAAAAAATTGGCTGTATTACCTTTTTACTACCTATTTGATAACGATAAGTAATTAAAATTATCTTTAACCTTGATAACTCAAGTGAGATTTTGTCTCAAGTACCTATCTAAAACGTAAACCAAAAACGTGCAGATAGATATATTTCAGTAGTGATTCATCAGAAATGATTTCTTTGCAATTTTTTTGAATCATTGCATGTTGTGTGCACACAGTAAATACATACAGCGCCACCTTTCAAAAAATGACTGGCGAAACTCTGAAGCACAATTACGACCGGAATACAGAATTGGTACAGTTATTAAAAAATTATACTCTAATTTAGATAAGGCCTACGATGGTAATCTGTCCGAAATACAAATACCTCCTGAAACAAATAAGATAGGTATTCAAATTTGGTCACCCAATTATTTCAGATTGTTGCATCACAACGTAAGCATCGTAATAGTAGGCGAAATTTTTGTAGATGAACTTCATTTTGGAAAAGTACCTCACTATGGGAAGTATACAGGGTAGTTCAATTAGAGAACAAGTATTCCAAAATTTAGTTGTTTTAAAAATTCGTTAAATTGATACTTCTCAAAAGAATTAAGAGCTTTCTATTTCTGTGAAGTGAAGGACAGAATGCACATGGCGTGATAAAACAGATTTAGTCACCGGTTTGGGGCGAGATTAGCTCAAGTTCTCAGGAAATACCTTAAAATAATTTCTGATAATGTCGGTCGGCTCGTTGTCATAACGCGTGGTTAGCTGGAAAACAACAAGATTCCGTATGGAAATGCTGCATCTCAAATCAAATTTTGCGACATATTATAAAAATAAATCTAAGGAGAAACCGAATCTGAGAATCTCGGGAAATTAGAATAGCACATCTCGAAAGTTCAGTGGAAATAAATGCTTTGAGCAGAAAAATCAAGTTTAGAGTACCAGCTATAGGATATAGTGAAACAAACTCGGTATCAGTAAGGTGTTTGGTAACGACAACGTACAACGTACGTAGGGATCGAAACTATCGGAGCTATTCAAAAGGGCGATTTCATTATACTTGCAGATACAGGAACTATCTTGAAATCTCCAGGTGTAAAAAACTTCAAGGTAAGTGGGTCACCAAGTAAGGGCAGTATCACGGGATCAATTTCTCAGGATTCTGTCGGTAAGGTAGAAACTCACCTATGGCGTTCTTCAATTGATAAGATGGCGGTGGACGTTCCCCACATGAATTTTGCTTGCGCATTCCTGTTGTGTGAGAGGGTCCCGTCTTCCACAAGGGGACATCATCTCAAAAGATTTGGATCAGTTCCATTACGTGGACCAATCGCGTCTGCTGCTAAGATGAGACAGCCACGCCCTACTCACATATAAAAGAAAGGGCTTAAAAGTCTTTGGACAGAACGCGCATGGAATTTTTTTTATCTATATCGTAGTGGCCGGTTATTTTCAGGAATTTTTATTTTAAGTAATTCTGCTATTCCTGAAGAAATCGACCTATAAGATTTGCATGAACAGATTTTGTTTTGTAGTTACTGATCAGTGATAAGAATCGGATCCACACAAATGATTTATGTATGTATTAATAACATTTAATGTTCCTGGAAGATCACTTAGGTTTAGTCAATCGTTTAGCATAAAACTGTATAAAACGTTATATTTACAACACTCCCCTATTATAAGAATGATGCGTTTCGCAAACTCCTATCCGCAAATTGAAGTAATAGGTGTTAGTTTATCTGAACTTAAACATAATCTTAAGTTGCTACTAAATGATGTCGACAAATCATACTACCAATGTTAGTTTAGTTAGTTTATTACTGCTCACTATATTTATTTTTAATTTCTTTTTTCCAGTAATTTAAGCATAATTATCTTTTGTATATGTGAATTGTACACAAAACTTTAATTTTTTGGGGCCTCTCCCGTAAGACTTATAAATAAATAAGCTATGTAATTTGTTCCATTGATTGAGATTTGCATTTTCAATGATACCATTCCTTTGGTTGGATTAAAATTTTGCGTAGCATTGAGAAGGAGTTGTATATTTTTAAACAGAAGAATGTACTAATACATCATTAAGTGGTAAAGATAAAATATTTAGATAAGGATCAAAATTAGCATGCAATGTTTTCTTTTTATGGATCCAGCTAATATTATACATCCAGAAGAGAGTGAAAAAAATGGAGTTTGATAGCTTTTGCTTTATTTAATATATTCGATCAACTAAAGGCATATGCGTATCTATTGTAGTTCAATCCAGAGCATTAGATTTTGCATTTCAGATTTTAAGAGGAGATAAGAGGTTTCCAAAATTAAGGAGTATAACAACATTTTTTATTAGTGAGCTAGCCGTGGGTAAATTAATAATGAATTGTCACATTGAAATTGCCAGTGACGTAGAGGCTCCATTTTATTTGCAAATGTAACTAAGCCAGTTACCACCTACAACAACGGAGTTTTCCTGTCATGAATGCAATACTTTATCTAGCCGTATATGAGCGCGGAAAAGTACAAACGCTTGGTATAAAAATGCCAAGGATAGTGTATTATGTGGCCTCACGTTATGCTATTTTTGATCAGTTCGTCGATTTCGAAGTAAAGTGTGTAAAAGAAAGTTTTTTAAAACGATCTATTCCGTATTCAGAAAAAGTTTTGAGTATGAGTAAAAGCAGTTGTCTGCTTAGTGAAAGTTAACAGTTACTACCATCTGAGCAGCCACTGAATGTTTTTTTCATCTTACTTATTAAGCCAGTTCGTCGTTGAAGTCAGTTGGATAAAAAAATTAAGTTTCTTGAAGCTGCCAGCAATTGTTTGTGTGTTTTTGATAAGTGCGCCTGAATATCGCCAACCTTTCACGACTAGATTATTTGGATTCTTTAAAAAAACTGTAAATAATTCTAAGATTGCTCATTTTATTTATCAACCGGCTGCGTGTGGGGTAATATGTATATCGAAACAAGCTTTGTAAGTTTTTTCCTCTTTCAGGAATTGTTTGATGTGTTTCGGAATAAATTTTTGTCAATGTCAATCAATTAAATGATTGCTTATTCGAATCTTTTGTGTGACCTGGAAAAAATTGGCATGCCAAATTTTGGTATTTGTGCCCACTATTGAAATGTGCAATCCTTTTTTTCTTTGTTCTTTTTTTTCAATATTTTGTAGTCTTTTTCAAGCATGTATATTTATGTTTAATTTTATCATGTTATGCGTCTCATGTCAACGAATTTTGTTTTTGATTTAAGTATATTATGTCACAGTTTTATTGGAAGAGAGGAAGATCGTCCATGGCGAACTCTGTTCCATATGTGAAAATTTTCTTTGTTTTTCACAATAAATTATTTTTTTTTATTACTATTATTATTTATTTCAGGTATTAATCAAACGTTATGTAATAAATTTTTTGGAATTTCCGGAAGTCCTGATCGTGGCCAGTGAGTCACTCGATTTGAGAAATTTTAAGTCAATATTAGGATTTTTCTTCTAACAGATGGCGGATGTATAGCGACGAGAAATTCTAAAATTCTTTTGTGGGTGACCCCACGCCATTGCACACAGCACTATAAATTACGTAAACAAATACAAGAAGAATGAAGCTCGGGAAGTTTGTTTATAAGGCACCTCAATTCAATTGAAAGTGTTCAATATATTCTCCATTGAGGTAGTAAATGTTGGGGCACTCCCCTCCACATCACAACGAAGTTTTCAAAAGTGAGCACAATAAGAGCGCAAAAAGCCGTGTCGTCTTACAGGTAGCAATGCATCACAATGAACTCGAAGCAAAAGGTTGTAGCATTTTGTAATAATTCGACATGATCCGGTTGTGACAGTATGTGTAATAGCTGAAAAAATTGCGTGGCAACGATAAAAGTGTTATCATCATGACACGTGATAAGCTTTTGCATGAATGGGTATCTTTCTAGGTAAATATATTCCCTTGAATAAATCTAATGATTTGACTTCATTGTTTATTTATTTGAGTAATATCAAAAATAACACCTAACACATACAGAGAACATTCGGAACCTTTTGTCTTATTCGACACCGGTTATATGACGTTTGTCCCTCGCTATTTTCCATTCCACAAAATGCTCGGTTACTTATTTTTACAAATCCACTACCATTTAATTAACTGGATAATCAGCCCTCTAGATTTTGACACGCCATACAATTTCTATGATATCCAATCCCTAAACTGCTTCACAACGCTTTAAATGCAAATTTTGAGCTACCGTTACTACCCATTGAGGAAGATTATGGACTCAGACATCTTGGAATATCCGCACATGGCCACTGGATCTCCTCGGATATCATTTGAATATCTACGAACATCCTTGGATATCAACAGTACTTGATTGGATATCTACGGATTTTACTGCGATTTCCCCCTCGTCTGGTCGTAAAGATTATTGTGGTTAACGTAACTTAAACTTGCAAAGTTATTTTGATAATTTCAATTTGAAGGATTCTGCTCTAGAGGCTCTATCTTTATTTACGAGTAAAGTATGTATGTGATGCTGAGAGGGACGTTAGCAACAAAATAAAATTTACTATATCGCGCCTTCTATCAAGCCAATTCCCCAACATGTTCTGTTAACACCCAGTATAGACTATCAAAAAAAGTGGGTTACTGTGTGAAAAGCCTACACGTGCTAAGCAATTGGCACGAAAATCTGCATTCGGATAAATTTGAAGTCCGAAGTGTATTTTTGGAATGGCGATAGCGAGTAGGTACCTACGTTTGTTGGATCAAAGACCATTGCGGAAACAAAATAATACAAATTGTCCGTTTCATTTATGAAATTCCTCGGAAGACCTTGTTTGGGTTTTCCAGATGGAAAGCGGATTAATTAAAAAAAAACGCAGTTATGCGGCAGTAGGTTACTAAGCGGGCTTACCAACTATAGTCTATAGGTATATTATAGGCGTAAACACTTACATACCTTTGATATAATACTTTTAAAGGCACTAATAGTTCACGTCACTCGTTTTATGAATCTGACCATCTTTCCACGTTTTGCGTAAACTGCGACTCCGTCTTGTCTAGTTTAAATTCTCTCAACGCGAAAATTAATTTCAGCTTTTACAAGAAAAATTGATTAAACTTTTACTTAATGTGTAGCGCATCATTAATTATTCTAATAAACACACTTTACGATCACGTTTCACTTAAAAATAAGCAAGTTCAAGGAATAAAATGAGTAATTATCGTAGGTCACATGTCATTTTGAATGGAGCGCGTGTATCACAAACTGAATTGCATTCTAATAAAGCGGGAATTCTTGAATTGCTGCCAATTTTTGCCCATCAGCGCACCTTTACCTATTCATTACACCGGTCGACCTTTTGTAAATATGAAATTGACGCCAGTAAAAGTAAAAGGATCGCGTACGAAACATTCTAAAATATAAGGCTTCGGATGCGGTTTCAACATAAAATGTTTGTTTACTTTTCAATTGGCTGGTAATTTGCTCTGGTTATGAATTAATTATTACGCATTCCATGTAAAAACCAACGATTAAAGTGTCAATTAACTTGTGTGACATCTTGTAACCAAATGGATTTTACAGTGCGTAAGTGCGACGTAATTTTCGAGTAATAGAAAAACTTCAAAATGGAACAAACGTTTGAATCATCTTTCTTTACAACTACGGCCCAAACCCAGAGTAATCAAAAACAAATTGTTCCACTTTATCCGCTCCCAACTTCTACTTTTTGAGGTGAAAATTGGCCATTGATTGAAATGTTTTTCCACATAATATTAAATTTTGTAACGTACCACCAGCGCCACCTCCCTCTCGGTAAACATATTACGCCTACACGCGCCACTAAAGCATATAATACTTAAAGCAACTCCAAGATGCCACTGTTAGTAAAGCTAATAGTTTGAGCCACAACAGGGCCAGAATACTAAGGTCCCGGAACGGCCAGGAAGACAAGTTCAGACTCATGTGAAGTTGGAACACGCCCATATGAAATAATTTGACAAAAATGTATCCTCAGTTAGTGCTACTTTGGTGCTTTAATTTTAGTGCTCGAAACTTATCGATAGTGCCGCGCTACATGACTTGAGGAAAATAAAAAAAAAGGGGCGGTCCGCAGGCGGGGGTCCAACTTCACACTCAATTTTTACTAATCGAAATAATGAACGCGGACGGTGTTAGTGCTGTTAAATGCCCAGATAAACAGTATCCCAATTTCTTTCGCTGCTCCTCAAAAAGTGAAGTGTAAAGTTAGCCCCGCCCATACATTTTTAACTAGGTGAACCACATTATGAAAAGCCACGTGTGCTGTTTTGTGTTCGACAATTGCGATTCCAGCATTTAATCTTTTTTCAAGAAAAACGAAAAAAATTAAAATATTGTGTGAAGTTGGTCCCACCCATGATTAGTATTTTAAAAAATCCACATACAATAGTGCTACGTTAGCGCCGTTTTGTGCTCGAAGATTAAGAGTCCAACGTTTTACCTTTCCAAGAAAAAAGAAAAAAACTAAAATATTTTGTGAAGTTGCTCCCACCCATTATTCGTTTTAAAACACGCGCATACGATCTTTAGTGCTCAAAGATTACGATTCCAACATTTTTGGTTTTCGAGAAAAACAAAAAAAAACACTAAAAGATTGTGTGATTTATGACTCATTTTTAAAAAAACACACAGACATACACTCGTTAGTGCCACGTTAGTTCTGTTTGGTGGTCGAATATAATATGCCATTGATCCATTATATATAATAATAACATCAATACCTAAGTGACATTTATTAGATTAGTGGAATTACAGAAGGAAATAAAAATAGGAACATTCAAATAGATAATAAACCGAGTAATAAACTAAATAATTAAAATTAAATGAAATTAATGTTCCGTAATCAGTTCAGTTCTGTGGTGAGTCACCCTAGAACTGCTCTACCACTTAACCCCACCCTAAACTAAGAAGATAAAACAATTAGTGGAATGAACTTAATAATATGTATATTGAGAGGGAGAGAGAGACATAAATAAATCAGGCGTGGTACTAAATAAAGAAGAAGAAAAGGAAAAGAGGAAGAAAAATAATCAATTGTTTTGATCGCGTAGAAGTAAGTGAAAATAATTTCGATTAAATACGCGGGAATATTGTTATATACACTTGCTATGCTGTATGAAAAAATCGCTTAAACATTTGCGTTTTATGTAGTGGAGGGGTAAGCAATTTGTAATGTCGACTACTAGAACTAAATTTGATTTTTTCATACAAGTAGATAGGCTTCTTAGTAGAGATGATTTTATGAAATAAGGATGCAGAATGCAATAATCTTCTTTAATTATTTAATTATTGGTAAGTAATATAAAAATTTCGAGTTAAGCTCAGATTCCTCTTCTAACACTTCTAAAACGTAAAGCAATGCAAGGTTTTGTTTGCCTTGACATCTATTCCTTGATGCGTACCGAGATAACATTAAATATTTCTGTAATATACCAGGAAGCTTCAAAAAGGTATATTTGATCATGTATTAATTATACCTAGACCTCGACCTAGACTATGCACGTATATTGTAACCTTGTAAGATATGTTGGGAACATGCAAATGGGAATACCTCAGACATTCTGAGAATAAAGAAAATATTTTCTATTTATCTGAATATGTTTTGAACATAATGTATATATACCACCTGGGATATTCTGAGAATAAACTCAGAATATTCTCAGTTTATTCTGAATATTCTTTTGTATAGGTATATATACTATTTCGGATATTCTGAAGTTAAACTTTATTATACTTAGGTCGTGAATTATGCACTTGTAATGGAAAAAAGTGACATGAGTATATCAAAGAGTATATACGTTATATGCTCTGCTTATATGAAGTTTACAGATCTCATCTGCTAAACTTCGGAGAACTTTATTTAGATGTTGCCACTGCAACATTTTCCATTTAGTACATTATATGTAGTGACAAATCGAATACCCCCCGTACATCCAGGGAATATTGTAACAGAATATTCAATACCGAAAGATTGAGGAATATGTTAATAGTGTGTTCTCAGTATATTCATTGCTGAATATTCTTGGAATAATAATAATAATGACCTTTATTCACATATTATATACAAAAGTAACAACACAAAAATGAAAAATAAGGCATAACGATATATCAAATATACAATACTGAAAGGGTGAAGTTCAGACTAATTGGTCTGCTCTTCCCGAGGCTCTTCCACTTTACCCCAATATACACTTTTTTTTTATGGCGAAATGAGTGACGTTTCTCTTAAATAAAACGGTATACCTGCGTTTGTTAAACAAAGGTGAAAATGTGCCAGACGAACGTATATATTCATGGAACTTTCTATGGATGTTTGGAATATTCACATACCCTTCTAGCATGTTAAAAGAATGTTCTAAGTATATCCAATTTTATCTGGGTATGGTTTCGCGATTCTATGGTTTACATTTTCTAGGAATGCATGGAACGATCTTGTAAAAATGTTGAATATCAATGTCAACTCTCGTTTCTTACATCAATGTATTGACTTTGGTTAAAATTGGATTAATAGTCTTGAAGAGACGAAACTGATAAACGACCATATTCCGAATATCCTTTCAATAAAGATCGATAGATAAATGTTATAAAATGCACAGCGTGGTCTCATTAGAGGATTGGTTTTTTTTTCAAAATTTTGTTGGGTAAATTTTTTGGCAAATATGGGCCGCGGAGGCGACAGTTTTGGTCAGTCAGATCCGATTCAGGTCAGCTTAAAAACCGCCGAATCCGTGAGAAATTCCCCTTACGTCACCAGAAACTTCTGACAAGTTATTTTTCTAGATATTAGATTTGTAATAATAAATAAGTCCGACCTTGTGGAAATACGCTAGTAAAGCAGTTCGTAATCGAACCGAATGCACCGGGAAAGACTTCAATACTGTGCAATCGCATTTTTCTTGTTTTTGTATGTTCAATTCATTACCGTGCCTTTAAGGGTAAAAAGAATGAAATATTTATCATTTAAACAGTAAAAGGATACCCTTACGTTACCTTCGTATTGTACAAAATCTGTTTATACCTACTAGGTGTTACATTTTGCTTTTTACCCTTCCATAAGTAGGCACTCGTGTAGGAATTCAACGAACCCCCGGACTGCAGAGAGTGTTTTGAAGTAGATGAGGGAGGTTACCAGTAGTATATCTGAATTTTTAAATTTGAATGAGAATGCAGAAAGCAAATATTGTAATCTTTATTCTGTTAGAAGAAAACAAATTCGTGTCTAACTTTAATTTCGGCTGTATATAGACGTAGCTCTTACGTGCAACCGTACGTTTATTGCTGCTTCTATATGACCGTAGACAACGCCCGGAGGACCATCGGCACACACCTACGAATGAGTACCAAACACTGTTGTTATTCAAAACCGCTAACCTTTTCTATTTTAGCCCCATATTTAGATACGGCCTTTTTTACTTCCTTCGTATAAGTACGAATTTGGCGTTTGAGTAGGTTCTCGTGAAGATTTTTGCTTTTCTTTTCCCGAATTCGCGATATCATTACTTGCATATCGGTATACAAATATATAATGGCATCAACATTTCCAATTTCTTTTACGAACATGGACGCCTGCTGAGCGGTACGAGGAAAACCATTAAATAGGAAACCGTTACTTCCACGAACCTTTGATAGAATTTCTTCTTTAAGTAAATCTATCACTATCTCCTAAATTATCTGTTACACCTCTGATGGTTTGACCATAATAAACGTACGTCGGGTACTTTGCGTGTTGAATCCCGAAGAGCATCATGGACTATTCTCCCCCGTTCAGTCGGCTGGTTTCCTTCGCTTTGCAGTAAATTTGAGACCGATATCAGTTCGTAAATAAATTTTTCTGATATCGTGCGGGCGTGAAGGTGACGTCCCGTACCAGAAGCACCTACCATCCATATAAACGGAACGGGATTTGTTGTTAGCTTAGACATATCGTAGGGGAGACGTTGAAAGCTTGGGTCCTAAAATTTCACTGATGATTACACTCATGGAAGGTCTTATTGCGACTTTTTCTAAGGTAGAACAACACACTCCCATTTTAATCCAAAATGTTTATCACAAAGATACGTTTTGAGAGAATAAAACGTCACTTCGCAAACTAAATGGTTGTTAGGTACGGTGTCTGCGATCTAGAAGTAGGCCTAAAATGGAGTGACGTTCACACTACTTATCCTGGCACATTTCACACAGTCAAAAAACTTCTTTGGTTTTCCACATGAAAAGTTAAAATCTGATCGCTTCACCTTCAACCACCTTGATGGTTAATAATTTTAATATATATTCAAATTTTGATCAACTTTCGATTTCAACCTTCTATTATTTCTTCCAGACAAATAAACCAGATTTATTTAAAATGGCCAATTTAAAAATTTTACGGAAACGATAGGTAGCCAAGTTCTCTATTTCTAAAGTGCAAAAATCCCCTTGACAAAACTTGTACAAGAAAATGGAATATCAAGTACCTCATACATAACACCTCTTAATATTAAATATTTGACTCAGTGAGGAGACTTTCATTAATTAATATGAAACCTGGAAATATAAATAACATTTTGTTTTCGAACAACTGAACATCGCTATATGACTCCAACAAGAATGTCTTTATTTTTCTTCTCAATGACGCATCCCTACCTAATTTTCTAATTAATTCATACCCCAAAATGGCGCAAATGAAATCGGTCATTTCTTACCACTAGCTATTTGATTTGTTTAAATCCGCAAATTACGTTAGCGCTAGGGTCAAGAGCTTCCGAAATTCATTAACAGGTTATAAAGTATATGGAACTCAATGTCGCCAAAAGCTATACATAGCGAAGAACCTTTAAAAACCTCGATTTACTATAATTTTGGAATTATCAACCCTATAATGGACACCCTTCGTAACTAAATTCAACTTTCAACCCTACAAAAATTCGAAAAATTAAACTACTAAAAGGCTCCCGTTACACAGACTATTTTACATTAATTAAAGAGTTTATGTGAATGTAGAATTTCATAGTTCTTTGATTTTTCCAAGAAGAAGAATATGTTTAAGGAAACTGTCTTCTTAATTAAAACTACTCGAAAAGAGAGGAATGAATTAATCGGTCTTGAGCCGTCGTAAAGATCACGTCATTTTTTACTCGCGTATAGATTTATCTGAAAATTGATTTCAAATTTTGATTTTCTGAATATTGCTTGCTTGCAAAATTAACTCGCCAAATGGCCATAACTTTTCGTATACCTACACAGTGTAGGTCCCAGAGAAGGGATTAGGGGATCTCGGAACCCATGGAAAATACGAAGATGGTCAAATTAGGGAAAACTACGCAATTGAAGAGTTATTATCATTCTGTCAAGAAAACCACAAAATTCCGATTACTTCCGAAGATATGATAGAAAAACCGATTTTTGCCGTTTTTTTAATGTTATTTCAACAAATACAAAAAATAAAAAACTTTCTCATTGGTACTATTTGAACCAATTTGAGCTATACAAAACAGCGTTGAGGGATTTTTAAATACAACGTTTCGTTTCGGAGAGATCATTAACTTTATTTTTTTTTTTCACTACTAGCGTCTGATGACATGATTATTAACCTTTTTTCCACTTGTAAAGTAGGCTTTCTCGGCATTTGTTCAAAGTGGTTAATAATGTGGACATTATTAACTAGTAGTCAATAATGAGAACTGTCACGCTGTCACTTTTAGAAAACACAACCCGAAATTTCGCTCAAGAAACGTTTAGGCAAGTTCTCTAAAATGAATAATTGCCACCATTCGCCATTTCCAGACAAATTACATACCTAAAATTATCACATTTTGAAAAAATATGAACGAAATTACTCTTTGAAAATATCTCAATGACAGAACAAAATACGGCCTGTTTGACTTGTACTTCAACGTACTTGATTGACATGTTAAATTAAGAAACAAACAATTCTGTCCAACCGTTCACTTTCTTATCAATATAATATGTTAATTTAGAGGACTTCAAGTGCTAGTAGTGAAAAAAATAGTATATATACCACGGTAGAGAAGTCTATTATTGCCTTCGCACCTTACACCCCTCGGCGCAAGCGCCTCGAGATGTAATCTTGGTGCTCAGGCAATAATACTGTACTTCTCTACCTTGATATATAATGTACTATTATATGGCCCGTAAAAAAAAGTACATACTTGTATTAAGTAGCATTTATTATTAGGAATAAAACGATGTACGGCACAAAAAAACAAAAGTTGGAAACGCCCTAATCGTGCGAGAATACTTATCGGACAAATTTTCCATTTTCCAGGAAATTTGTGCGATGTATAAACAAATGGTTATCACGGTATCTCGTAAACAGAAGGATCTGGTAGCTAACGAAGGTGGCACAATATTAAAGTTGGAACGGCCTCCTTACAATGATATGGAGGAAATAAATCCTGAAACTGCAGATTGGAACATTCCGACAGTAAAAAATCCTTCAGTTAATCCTTTCATGGATTGCAAGCATGTAAGAACCGAGAACGTATGTCATTAACGGGCTTTAGAAATGAGTGTGAACACTACTTTTATTCACAGAAAAGGAGAAATGTGTTTACTAACCCAAAAGTTTTTCCACTTATTGGTTAATGTTTTGAACTACGGGCACTTCGACGGGCACTTATACTAATTTCAGAGTTACGTAAATAAGTATCGGACAATTTCTCTTGTTGACTAAGGCGATACAGCTGAATTTTTTTTGTAGCGAAAAACAACTCAGCGCGTTTAATTGCACTGTCCTTGCTCGAATACAACTTTTAAGATTCTCTGGTTGTACAAGAATTCCCTTTATGATGTAGTAAGTGACACACTCCCTTAATCCCCTTCCAGATATTGATTCTACTGTAAAACTCGCGGAACTTGCGTTAAATTTAATAGGTCGCACTGGAATTTTCTAAGATGGAGTTTTCTATTATGCCCTCGATTATGCCCGAAAAACATCGACTTCCGCCCTTGATGAATACCGCACAAATTTACTTGACGAAAACTCGAAAGAAAACTAAGTACTTATGTGGTTATTCCTTGTTTCGGAATTAATGTATTATAATCACAATTTTAAATTTGAAAATTAACTGGTCGTTCTGATGGCCAAACGTGAAGTAATTTCTGGAATTTCAATTTTCTCTAAGGACCACGCCGCGTGCTTAATCACGAATCCTTAATATTTTCTCCCAGAACAAATTCACTCTATACATTATTAATTAAAGGACGCCTACAGAATGTCTTCTTACAAACGCAGACGGCCATGTTTAATCGATAATTCGTTTGATTTAATAATTCCCGCCCTACGAATCAAATAAAAGATAATATACTACTTAAATCATTCCCAAATACGACAAGCATGTGGTACGTTGCAGTTTCCACGAAGATGAAATAACCTCACGCCAAATTCGCAGTTGTAATCAAATTAAGATAACTAAATATAATCCCGATATCGCGTCTCCCGACATGCGGAATCCATTAAGAAAACAATGCTCTATAGACATTAAAAGATGCAAAAAGGACAATGCTCCATTCCACCGAATGCTCGGTTATTTATTCTTACAATTCCACTACAAAATCTCCGAACTCCTACACAAGAATTAAAAAAAAAACGATCCATTTCTAGTTACCATTACAAGACGCCCTGTATAAACTTTGTCTTATGCATAACACCTTCAAACTTTTTGTAAACAAATGATACATGATGTATGGAATTTAGCATATATCTCGGTCGATATCCGAAATCTCCGGAAATAACGACTGTATACAACATTTCTCTAAAAGTTGTGTAATATTTTACGAGATATTTTATTTCCCATATAACATTCAATTGTTTTTATTTCAGGAAACAAAGGATGAAAAACAATTGAATTTTTTTGAATAGCAATGTACCTTTTTATTTAGCTCGTTTAATAGATTTTTTTCTCTTTTCAATGACGTATTATCAAAGGCGTTATGAAGTATGAGCCCTTGAAAGGGTCGCAGGAAATAGAAATATATACGAATTGGCCTTTTTCATTTATGATCCACCTAGGCTGAAGAAGGACGAAACGTCAAAAAAAAAGGACACTTCTTCTCGTTCGCGCTCATAGTTGGTTTTCAAATCTTTTTAAATACATGTTTGTTACACCTAATCAACAAGCTTTCATTTGATACCAACTACGAAGCCCATTATGTTTTTATTACGCCTCAAACTCGTCGGCTTTACGCTAACAATGAAAGTAAATGCGACGCATAGGCAGCACACTATACATGTAATAGTTCTAAAGCCGGTTCTGTAACTTGGGGTGCTCTACCTAAACTGGCAGACTGGTGTGGCCTGTGGCGCCACATTTCTGTTTCTCACTTATGTTTAGTGATTCCTGTGTACACGTAGCACATTTACCCTTACCAATGTTTAAATACCTACTTGCTGTAAAATGCCTTTACCTTTTTTTAAAAAATTACAATTTAACTTAAATATAATGAAAGCAAGCATACTTACACACAATGAAAAACATCCTGGCGTGTGAAAAATTCCACGGTGAAACTTATATTATTGTAAGCATAATCACGACAATCGTTCACTATTTAAACCACTAACTTCGTAACGTCGCAAAACGTGAAAGGAAAATTCCTTTGGGCCAATGGGAATGACATTGTAGTTTACCAAATAAAAATTAAACAAGCACAGAATTAGTTTAAATTCTCGAAATTAAGAACTTGTTTACGTTGCGTTAATGCAAGTAATTTTAGTTCGATTTAAAATTCCGTTAGCCAAGTATCTTTATCTAAAATTGTGCGTAACCGTAAATAAACGACGAACGGTCGTGTTCGAATAGAACATGTGGACGTGATCTGATAAGGGCACAAGTTTCACATTTAGAAAAATAAGTAACTTACTAAATCGAGCTAGCGGTTTATACTAAAAATACAGTAGAACTAGAAGGTTGTAGAAAAGCGAAACCGTTTCGATCCTCCTATTTGGCTTACAAAGAGGGTGAACTCTGACTCATACGAGATTATTATTGTTTACGTATAGCGTAAGCAGAACAGGGGAAAAATCCCGATCCAGTATTCCCCTCTCAATTCCCCGTGACGCCGGAGACAGGACCGTAATTTCGCATCCTCCTTTATCAAATTACTTATTAATGCTAGTGCCTACCTTAGTACGGTTGGCGTTCTATTTTAAGAAGTGGGTGGCAAGAAAAATTCATCATCGCTTTCAGAAAAGTGATTGTGCAAAAAATGACGATAACAACCCTTCACCCAGCCTAATAACAGCCACCCACATTACACCAGCATATAAATACAACAGTAATGATGTTTGCATAACAGCAGTGGGACAATGGCACAGATAAAATACCCATATCTGTGACAATGGTGACGTTTTATTATTGCTACCTAGGTGGGACAATTGATCTCCAAGATAAAAGTGCTGTCCTCATATAAAAGCAACGAGCAAATTTTTACTCATAGTATAAAAGTGGCATGAAATTCTTCAATATCGATTGTTGGTTAGCCCAATTTTCAACCCTTAAATCAACAACAGTTTTAATTAAAAGTAAACAGTATTTTTGTTCTTTAGAATTAATTATGGCTAATTTGCAAATACGGTAGGTATAGGGTTGGTCTCAGAATGTGGGGGCGAATTTTTAATTTATCTTTTACAGAAACTACAAATAATAGATTTTGGAGTGCCCTCAAAAAGTTTTTATGTGTAGCGTAATGAGTAAATATTCCCTAATATTAAAGAAATATAAAGCCCACACTTACCAAGGTAATTTAGGATTTTTAACATTTAACGTTGTCTCAGATAAGTATGATGCCTGGATTCATAATCGAAAGTTTCGTTTGTTGTTTAAAAATAAATGTTGGTTGGGACCAATTTTAGATGTGCCATTGTATGTAAATTAATCATAAATAGAGATAAGTAGGTAGCTAATTACACTATGTAGTGAATACGGAGACCCTGTGATGTCACTACTTTTGTATTTAAGCGCGTGTACCTTTATTTTCTTTTGTTTTTTCAGGCAAAAATGAGTAAGTTGTTATGAGTAATTCAAAAAATGTTTAAATCAAAAATTGTGGCAAAAGGATATTGTAGCGACACGTCAATCAAGTAAGCCTTTCACTCAACGTTGTAAGGCAAGTTGCTAGGGGAAAAATACACAACTGATGGTGAGAGAATAAATATCACTAAAATTGTTTATAAAAAAAACTCAATCTTTACATCTACAGTACCTACAGCATTACTGCACTGTTCCGTTATTTTGAACCATCCTATAGAATACGCTCTCTCTGTTAATTAACAAGGCTTCTGGTGCATCATATTCTACCACTTTGCCAGAGTCCATGACTAGAATCTTGTCTGAGTCCATAATGGTGTTCAACCGATGAGCGATTGTAATAACTGTGCAATTACAAAATGTCTCCTTAATTATTTGTTGAATTAGTTTATCGGTATGCGGATCCATATTAGCAGTCGCTTCATCTAACACCAACACGTTGTTATCACATAAAAGTGCTCGCGCTAACGAAATTAATTGTCTTTGCCCGACGCTAAAGTTGGTACCACCCTCGTAGATACGCATCTCTAAATCCAGAACGATTCTCTTCAGATGTACCTCATCAAGCGCCCTCCATAATTCTCGATCCGTAAATTCCTCATTGGGGTCCAAATTGCTACGAATGGTGCCTGCGAATAGAACCGGATCTTGTGGTATAATCGATATCCGCCTCCTTAAAAAAAGTACATCTACATTTTTTATATTCACACCATCGATAGTAATATCGCCTTCATAGTCATACAGACGATAAAGGGCTGAAATAATGGAGGTCTTTCCGGCTCCTGTTCGTCCGATGACGCCGATCCTTTGCTTAGATTTGATCATCAGGTTCACGTTCCGCAATACGTATTTGTGATCTTGATTGTAACGGAGACTTACGTTAGTAAAAACGATTTCGCCGCCACTTGGCCACCCTTTGATTTTCGCACCGTTCGTATCCTCGCCCGAAATAGTTTGGTATTCCAAGACTCTTTCGCCTGACGTCATGAGGTTCTCAATCTCGGCCCACTGGCGCACTGTCCATTCGATTTGCTTAGTCCATCCGAAGGCTTGAGTAATGGCCAATCCCACTCGACCAACCAGTGTGTCTATAATCCGAAATTTGATTTGTGCAAATCATTGGGTCACACCTTACTCACCTGTCTTCCAAATTAAAAATGTCAGCACAATACAAATGACGTAGATGGTCGATATGGCATCTAAATAAAATCCAAAAGCTTCAGTAGTTGCAAAATTCATGTAACGAACGGAGTTGTGGACGTCTTGGTGTTTATCGAATTCACTTTTCATGGTCTCTTCGGCTGCATTCGCTCTAATTGTGGCCAGTCCTTCCAAAGTTGAATTAATATGTCCTACAAGTGGGCTACGAGCTGAAAGGTAGTGTTAGTGACTAGCTTAGGAAATGCGAATTTATACTAGATCCTTCCAATCTTCGAATGCTTCTACCTGTTGGAATATACAAACAGCGACCGTAGTACAATAAAACCAAAAACAGAATGGATGGAATAAGAAATATTGGATTTACCGAACAAATTACGACTATAGAACCGATTAATAGGAGAGCTACCTGAAATGGTAATGATATTAAGCGACAAAGGCGAAATCCTTACCTTAAGAAGGTAGAATAACGTTGCAGGTAGCCGTTCATCCAATATTGCCAAATCCCTGGACATTCTGTTGAGAATGTTTCCAGATAAATTGTTGTTGAAGAACGTCATGTTGGCATTTATAATCTTTTTAATAATTAATTTGTGTATGTTCGTCGATGCCTTGCAAGTGAAGTGATAGAACAAGAAAGATTTTGCAAGGGTGAATACAGCTCCGAGTAAAACCACGAAGGAATATAGGATCATTATTTGCTTATTAGATTTTTCCAACGCCTTGAATTCTGCAGAATGCGTGGTTTGGTTGTATCTAAAACCGGACATCTCTTGTTCCATATCGACCCTATAAAATGAACACATAAGATGTTAATAAATGTGTTAATAAAGAAATTTAATTCGAATGATGAAGGTGTTGACAAAATTAAACAAGTTCAAAAAGTTACCGTAAATGACTTACAAAAAGCGCATTTCTTGTGTCCAAAAATATTAGTTGCTCCAGCCAAATTCGTTTTCAGCAATAATCCGTCCACAAATAAGAAAGTTACCACTGCGCATGAACAACTTAGCGTATATCATTTATAAGCACAAAAATCTGAATACCGAACGATCTTCGAGATCTTCACGCATCTATCAATTTGACAGGTAGGTAGTCTGTCCCACCAGATCCGTATAGCTTGTAAGACAAATTTTTTAATTTGGTATTATAAATAGTTTAAATTTTATTCGCGGTGCCTATATACAAAGTTTCATTTAAATATCTTAACAAATAAAAAAAATTGGATTGCACAGGTACCATTGCTGGGTTTGCGCATGCGCAAATTTTTTAATTCGTCTGCATAGTTGCTTGAGGTTTAAGGAATATTTACTAACACAGAAAACCGGACATTCATATGTTTTTTGTGACAAGAATAAAAGAACTCTATTTTTTAGAGGCTTGGTCAGTTTTTGGGCTGTACCTTTTTGGCTCGTTAGTTGACTTTTTTTTAGTAATAAACGTAGAAATAATTCCTTCCTTGGTGCAAGCCTCAACGTCATAACGAACCAAATAGCGAAAAAAGTAGAACAATAACCCTTAATATAAAGATCTAGCAGCGACCGCATGGACGGACAAAGTAGCCACACTAGCGCGCATTTTTTAGCGCATTTTTGAAAAAAATACGCTATTATATTCGTCATTGCTGGCAGGCCGGCTGTCCGCGTTAGATCTCCGCAACTACAATAGCTAGAGACTTCAAATTTTCACTAAAAGCTTTCTGCTATAGTGTAGATGTGCAGGCACTAGTCTATTTTGAGTTAGATTACTTGTGAGATCGATAATTGAAGAAAATAATTTCGATATGGGTTTCGGAGGTGCTATAATTTTACCGTTAGATAGCGCTACCAGTATAAAAACTTATTATTTACTTTGTGATTTGTTTTACAAAATGAAGACGTACCGTCAATTGAAATTAAATAATAGTACATTATATACCAAGGTAGAGAAGTCCACTATTATTGCCTGAGCACCAAGATTACATCTCGAGGCGCTTGCGCCGAGGGGTGTAAGGTGCGAAGGCAATAATAGACTTCTCTACCGTGGTATATATACTATTTTTTTTCACTACTAGCACTTGAAGTCCTCTAAATTAACANTTTCAAAGAGTAATTTCGTTCGAATTTTTTCAAAATGTGATAATTTTAGGTATGTAATTTCCCTGGAAATTGCGAATGGTGGCAATTATTCGTTTTAGAGGACTTGTTTAAACGTTCATTGAGCGAAATTTCCGGTTGTCTTTTCTAAAAGTGACAGCGTGACAGTTCTCATTATTGACTACTAGTTAATAATAAAAAATTATTAACCACTTTGAACAAATGCCGAGAAAGCCTACTTTACAAGTGAAAAAAAGGTTAATAATCATGTCATCAGACGCTAGTAGTGAAAAAAATTAATTATTTAACGCAGATAAAATTACTCGTGAGATCGATAATTTTAAACTTCGCTAATAAAATACTGACCTGCATTACCAAAAATGCGCTTTAATCATGCATATGCTGATTTACAACTTGTTTATTTTTATGGAAATGCGCTGTAGGTATAGTACTCTTTGGTTATAGCACAGATACCACCCGCACATTTGCGAATGCGCGGTCTACTCAAAAGTTGTTCATTTCTTCCTTTTATGTACTCTGATGTCTCTATTTACGTTCCTGCAGTTTTCCTAATTCGTAAGATAAATACCGGAGTCTAGTATAGAACAACGCACCTCTAAAAAGCATTATGCGGGTCACTCTGTAATTGGCCTGTTGAGGCCCCAGAACAAGAAAGATAAATAAATAAATAATGGTCAGAATTATTAACTAATCATGTATGAGATCCTTCGTATCTTTGTAGTTGCTGTTTATCGCTATAGCGCGTTAGCACATCCAGATGCATTATGGTGCTTATGGACATACAGTACATGCTTGCCAAACGTGACGACAGCACAAGGAGATTATGTTTTGTTTTAATACTTCCATTTAATCATATGTCAATTTGACATCAATGCGGTTAGAAACAAGGATAGTATTCTCGAACGACGTAATTGACGCAAACTAGTAAGAGAGGCAATTAGTCAATAATACCCCATACTGCATCTGGAGGTGCGAACGCGCTATAGTAACCTGACTCGCGCCTACTATCCTTACGAATCAGTATATATGCAATTTTGGCCACATAAAATTCGAAAAAGATCAAATCTGCACAGCGGGCTCCCGTTACGGTGCCCCCTTCTGTTTTAAAAAACCTGAACCCAACTCAAAGAGCATTGTGCCTAAATTAATGCTGTGAAAAAACCTAACTTATCTATTAAAATAGAAAAAAAATTAACTATATAGACTCTTATGGGAACCTGAAGATGTTGTCCTCTCTCCCTTTTCTATCTTTTCTTCCAATTTGGAATTGTTTTTCTTCTCATTGTCTTAACTGACTCTCCTTCAATTGGTTCTTTCTAACTTCTGTTCTGCTAATTCTTTGTTTTTTCTCGAATTCTCTATCTTCTCTTCGTGTTTCTTAAATGTTTATTCTTCGGGTAAATATTTTCTAAAATCGCGATTCTCTTCTTGTGCCCCAATTCAGTGTTCTTCCAAATTTCTTTTGTCAGGTACTGATTTTTTCAGCTTGCTCTCCCACCCCCTCCAACTTCTCCTTAATGATGGGTTAACTTTCCATGGCTTCTTTTTCTTCATCTTAAATTTTTTCTGTAACTTGTTGTTGAATTAATATACTTAAATTTCTTCATCTCTATTGCAAGATTGTTTGGTTTCTTTTGTTTTTGGACGTATTAATTTTTTGAAAATAATTTTTAACGAACTTTGCTCCTGGGTTCGATTCAACTTTCGAGGAACTACTGGAGCTCTTAGTCCCCTGCCTTGGGAGTTGTCCGGTGGTGGAGACCCAGATCCCCTTCTTTCTTTATAGTTGTTATTTGGTCCGTAGCTTTTTCTTCCTCTGTATAATTACTACAACCCTCTTCTAATGAAATTTACTTGTCTCGTGTTTTCAGTTCTCTCTTGATTACGCAGTGGCTCGTCTTGGTGTGCATTTGTACAAGGTCGCTCTTCTTAGGTTCGATTTTTGGATCCATTCTAGAGTGCTAATAAGTTGGGACACTGTATAAGTTCCTGATTCTATTAGGATGTTCTCCACTTCTCTAGAAAAAATGTCGAAATATCGCCTCTACCAGTTGTGCCTGTTGAATCGGGTGTTATAGGTGAGTGCTGACCAAAACCATACGTGATCAGTATATTCGGCAAAATGTGGTTGTAAATCCCCCGACCAATATTGTTTAGTGAAATCTTCTTTGAATTTTACCCACGTATTCCATTTCTCCCTATTCAATACGCTCCAGGCTTTGGCGTTTCCTTCCAGCATTTCCTGCGCACATTTAAATTTTCCATGTTCCTTTGGGTCAAAATTGTTCAAATAATTTTCTAAACCGTAGAAAAAGCTCACTGGATTTGTTTGTAGATCGCCGTCGAATTTCTTGGGCCTGTGATGCAACATATTGTCAGCTCGAAAGAGTATGATAAGTCCATTTTCCCAATAGCCGTTCTGGTCTCTTCCATTGTTTCTACTGGTTTTACTATTTCTTCTTTATATTGATTAATTCGAACTTAATGCGTTTTCGTAGGTTATCTTTTAAAACCGTGAAATCTGTTGTCGCTTAAAATGATCCTGTTCTTCTATTCCTCGTCTCATCTACTGGACTTGCTTAATATCTCTTGCTGTTGGATACCCATGGCGATCTTCACTTTCTGAATTTCAACCTCTGTTGCTTCTTTTGCAGCTCCTTTTCTTTGATACCAATTTTTCCCTCATCGTTTCCAACAGCTCTATTGTTTCTCTTCTATCTTCCTCCTAAGTTGTTCTATACTACTCCGGTATTTACCTTACGAATTAGGAAAATGCAGGCAGGTTCGAACACCCGACCTCCGGCAATGTAGTAGTAGTAGTAAACATTATAAAATACAAACAATCAACCTCAAAATGTGAAACTTTGGTGCAATTGTGATTATTTCCACCCTTGGTATAATCACAACCGTCTATAATTACAAGCCGTGCTGAGAATTATGGCAACACTGCATGGTAGGCCGATTTCCTAATTCAACTTGACACATTTTGGGTGTATTTTATATGTGTTTTGGGTGTAATATTCCAATTTACCTGTTTTAACAGAGCGAGATTGCGACAATTTGTGTTACTCCGTACGGAATAAACAGAAATTGCTATTCAGGTAAGTTGCTAAACGAAATATGTCGATTTGTTGTCATAACCTCTAAAGCAGGCTACTCCTTACTGGACCCTTTACAAGCACTTGTATTTGTTCAAAGTACCTGTACAAGCTCAAATATGACCTACGCACTACGTGGTACGTAAGTACGGTAAGTGTTTATCGTGAAAAAATACAATTAGTTTGTATTTCAGATATTCTAGCACGGACATGTCAAATCGATTTTCTGAGGAAACCTTTCAACTTATTCCCAAGAGTTCATGGTACGGGAATTTGAAGTCTACGGGGCTCCCCTCTTCAAAAGCTTCGTACCTAGACCCACTGGAGTAGCGACTGGCTTAAAGTCTGCCATTCCGAATCACACCTGGTCGTTGATAAAACCTCGCTGATGCGCAGCGATTTACTGTCTTTTTACCGAAATTAAGTGCTCAACCGTGTGCTTCACCTCGACCTCTTTCGACAGAAGTTCATCAATTTCGGAGATCTCAATGGAAAACACATTATGATGCAGTTACCAATTTACAGCGTTCCGAATTTTAAAGTCAAATAAAAATGTTATCATCCATTTTTGTAAATAAATAATATATATGCACAATTGTAAGCTGCCTAAGTATCTTTCTTCTATATTAAAGCCGCCAAGCCGAAACACAGGAGAGAGGAAAATGCCATTTTTCAAGAACAACAATACGCCATTAAAACTTAAATCGGCCCACCGATTGACTTTCGAACAACGTTGCCAAACTTCTCAGCATGGCTTGTAATTATAGACGGCTGTGGTATAATATAGGAAAAGCTCAAACATTAATTAACTTGTAACAACTTCATATCTTACACTAGGATGTTGACATAAACTTTTAAGAAATTTAAGTTGTTACTTCAGAAATCCTGGAATGCAACACACCATCCAAAATTTACAATCCATTAACAACCACCCACCACAACAACATCAATGTAGCTTGCTATCAGTTCAATTCTACCCAAGTTAGCAATAGGGAAAGGTAAGATTTTATCATACAGATCAAAAATGTGATTACTTACCAAAAACTAACAAAGTAATCGTTCCAACTTAAGATGCCTTGTGTAGCTACTGCTAACAACAGAACAAACACAAACAGCGCCACACCGCCACCGGCTTTCACGTAGGTCTTGTAGACATCACAGCTAACGGCTCCCTCATTAATATTTTCTTTATAAACGTTTAACTCATCAATTGGAGATGAACGTGGGTACCTTTCATCTTCGTCTATTTCCTCGGTGGTCACATGGTAATCAATTAGGTTCTCGCATTTATTTAACGTGAACTTTAAATCCTCTTCCGCGCCATCCTTGAGACCCTCATAACTTCCGTAAAACTCCAAACATCCATTTTTCAAAATGATGATGTTATCAGATTTTCTCAAAAATAATTCCTGGTACGATACAAGAATACAAATTTCACGTTTCAAAAATTCTTTGCATTCGAAAAATATATGCTTTCCCACTTGCCCATCGACCGAAGACAAGCAGTCGTCCAACAAGTAAATGTTCGCCACTTTGTAAAGAGCTCGCGCCAGGTTTATTCGCGTCTTTTGCCCTCTACTGAGATTGAGTCCTTTGTCAGTAATGCAAGTCATGTCGCCAACGGGAAGAGCCTCAAAATCCTTTCTTAAGGCGGACACCCTTACGACTTCCTTGTACCGTTCTTCGTTCCAGGGTTCATTAAAGACGATGTTTTGCTTGACAGATCCAGGAAACAACCAAGGTTCTTGAGATGCGTATGAGACATTTCCGCAAACCTCGACCGATCCAGATGTTTCGGCGAGCTCACCCAACACCAGTCGTAGTAGCGTTGATTTTCCCGAGCCGATTGGCCCAGTTATCAAATTTAGTCCGTTGTTAAAGCGAATGGTAACATTGTTAATGAAAACATGTCCATCCTCTGTCTTCACAGTCGCATTTCGAATATTCACGTACGGTTTTTCACTGTAAAAGTTTTTGGCAACGGACCTTGTGCCGATCTCTTCTAATGCCAAGAAAGATGTTATTCTTTCCAAGGCAGCTTTTAACTCGGCTACGTAGGCGATTGCCAACGGAATACTTATAGTCATGTTGTTCTGAAGGGTGGCGAAACAACCGGTAACAACGAAAGCCTTTTCGGCTGTAATGTAATTATCTAAGGCGACATAGGTAATGATGCAGAAGTAAAGACCAAGCTTGGCATTTAAAATTCCGATAGACAAAATCAGAGCTTTGAGGTAAAGCAAGATTCGCAAATTAAAAACTTCCTTCCTGAAACAAATTAGATTAACTCGTTGCGTGGGGTTCATTTCTCGAATACTTTCTAAGCGCGATAATTGCTTTTTCAAAAAACAGCTCCCAAGTATACATTTTTATTGTTCGAATAGCCGTCAGCATCTCCTGGGTGCTTTTCACTCTTCGATCAGTGTTTCGACCCGCTCTGATCTTCCAATTCATAATCTTTTGCCCAATGAATCCTGCATTTACATTCAAATTTGGTTATGGTAAAATATGCGCTCTTACCTTGAACTGGAAGCGGAAGTAAAATTGCCGAAACGCCAACTAACGCGGAAACCCCGATTTGGTCGTATAGGATGTAAATGACAATGAAAATTTGTATGATTCCAACCCACAGCTTGTGAAACAGAAACATGGCATGCTCGAATGCCTCAACATCTTTGGTAATCAAAGTGATTGCCTGCCCGCTTGAGTCTTTAGATGTGAAACTTGCACTCAGCGATAGTGCCTTCCTGTATATTAAACCGGTCACTGCTACCTTGATTTTTAACACAACTTGTCGAATACCAAAGGAGTAGGAATGGTTCACCGTGGTATGTAGGAGGAGGCATAGGCACAATAACCCGGTATAGTAACAGACTTCGTTCACAGTCACTCCAGTTTGATCCGGGGCAAAGTAGGATATAATTTTTCCTTGCAGTAGCGGTTGAGAGATCCTATAATTACATTTAGAACCCAATTGTACATAAAGACGCAATATACTTGAATGCAGAGCCTGCGGTTAAGTATAGAAGACCCCATGCCATGTATATGCCACCAAATGATTTAAACAACGCAATGAACAACCTATTCTTCATATTCCCTTTGACGTTTTTCCATTGATTTTCTAATAGTGTACTCAGAGTTGGAGAATCGTAACCCTTCGCAATTTCGTACACGTCTTCCTCTTGAAGGCATTTTCTATATCCCTTTCGAAATGTGGTGCATGCAAAACTGAAAATTTTATTACAAATTTGAGCACGTTCAAATACTTACAGAAAAAATATTTTGGATAGAAAATTTGATTTGTCACGTGGATTAATTTTCTTCGCGTTTGGTGATGTTTGTACCATTCTGAAACGGGATTGTGAAGCTATTTGTATTTAAAAAAACTATTTTATTACATTGAAAAAATGAGATTCTGACCAAAAATGGTACTTATTTTGTACTTATCAATCACTGGCACCAAAACAATTTTAAACAAAGGTCCGCGCGCTGCAAAAATAAATTAATGCAATATTATGTGCATGAAAGAGTAAGTACTTGTTAACAAGACAACTTTATTTAATAAGGTAATTTATTCTTGGTGTTCAATAGGCAAATTAATGTCGTTTAGCAGTAGGTAGTAACGTTAAAGCTTAAGTAGTCGCCAAACAAATGTCTGCCTACACTCCTAACTGCTTCCTATAGACCAGTGCAGTGCTTTTTTTAAAAATAGTGAAATACGAATATTATTCAAAATACCATCTTTAGAATGAATGTACTTACAATGCCAGTAATCAGGGACCAGGGGATGCTATGTAAATTGTTTTTTTTTCCAATACAGTCGTTGAAAACCGTTAATCATATATAATTTTGATTTTTTAGAGCAATGGAGGTTTTTTCAATATTTACTGACGGCTAGCTCAATGTAATTTATTCTACTCGTAATTACCATGTTAGGAAAATGGGCGTCACTCGGCCGAGGAAAGCGCCTTTTTCCCACATAGAATCAGTAATAACTTGGGAAAGAAGTGATTTATCCAAAATATCTTTTGGTGCTTTCGTTTCGGGGCTGGGCTACACCGCATAAGAAAAATACTACAACAAAAAAGCTTAAACTGGAGGACTTTTAGTGGTACAGACGGGCAAAATGCGGACAATAGCGTTCATTTTCCTTTTGGGAAATACGTTAAAGACTTTCTCGCTCCAAATTGACCCTTTGCGTACAGTTCTCAGTAAAAAAAATCGACAAATCACAAATTGAATTAAATGAATTTAATTGAATAATTTGCAGAAGACCAACTCCTCCGTTCACTCACATATGAATTTGATTATCTCATTTAAAATACATATCTACCTATCCTATTATTGATCCACCAATAACTTAGCTGAGTGGTCACCCCTTTTTATCTTACGTCCTCTTTGATTAAATAATGATCTACTCTAACCCTTAGTTAAACTGTAATTTGGAAACTCATAAATCTTTTTACCCTTAAAGTCACAGAAATGGATTAGATACAATACTATAAAATTGAAAACACCCTAATATAGAGCTCTTGAACCTTTCTGGTAAACAAACAGCTGCATCATGGAAGTTTCCGTTGTACACAATGACAAATCTGATATCAAAAGTTCGTGATCTTGCTAGCAAGAGAGTTGACGTCAGCGCCCAACTCGCATCGTATTTTATCAATACAGCCTAGGTTGCATCCTGTTGGTGCGGCGAAACCGCATATATGTGACTGGTACCATTTAATAACGTGTGATATTATCATCCCGTCAAACAGGAGCGTTTTAGCGGGAGCCGTAAAAACGCATAGTGTGACACCACACTTACATTGATATATCAATTCGCAATTTTTTTCCACGCCCATTCTCAAGTTCGAAATTCGCACATAGGCGTGTTGGTTAATTTGCACAGGTATCGTCCCTTGTCTTAACTTAACTCAAAATATGCATCACGCTATTATTTTTTCCTCCGTGCCCTTTAATCATATTTCCGGTGTTGCACACGAATCTCGCACTAATTAACGCGATTATCGTTCTTCCTGGTTATTACCGTGAACTTTTCTGAATCCCGGTGACGTCTAACGTTTAGTTTATTTCGGAACGCTTTCACTACGATCTTAGTGCCTTCAAAACTTTGCGCTGGATACCTACTGGATACGTTCTAAATTTTTCCAATGTGCTAGCACGCCCCAAAATGGCGGCGAAACAGTTGCAGCGGCCATTATTATTTGTTCAACCAATCAAATTTATCCCTTTCCTCCCATCTAATCCGTCAGTCAGTGCCGCTCATCTTGTGTACCGTGTCCATAATATTCCGTACGTACTCTTCGGTCGAGTCACAATCCATCAAGCGAATCGATTTATATTCTCGATTCGAGTGATTCTCTGCATCGAATTTTTCCATAAATCGGCCGATGTTTTCGCATCTCGATATAACGATAGGCAGGGTTGGCGCTGCTTAGACTCAAACCCGCCGCAAACGGGTAACTAGCTTAGGGTTAAACAATAAATAAAGGCTTGAAATCTTCCACAGCAGTAGTTCAATCTGGGTATATGATCTTCATAGACGTTGACGCCAAGAAATTAGCTCAGTTCGTCCATCACCTTAAAACAATCAAAAAGAAAACCTCCCAAGCCGCAGGGCTCGGTATATGATCAGTTGATTAATGTCTGAAGGGCTTCGTTCTACTCGTAACTCAAGGTTACAAAACTTGTACGTCGAACAAGAATTAGTAGGTAACGTAAAACGTATCCGGAACGTGAACTTGAACCTCAAAAGAAATCAAAGCTACCCCCCTTCTTTGACGACAAAATTTACCCACCTCTTAGGGAAGAAGGCTAATCGTAGATGAAGCAGCAATTGTCGATGGAAAGTACAACAAATTACAGCCGAAACCTAAAGAAGGTACACTCTATATAAACGATATGCACATGGCGGATTTACGATAAAAAAGGAAGAATGAAATGCATATTCTAACTAGGAACATCCCGTCCAAACTAATTACTTCAGCATTCCCAAACTATGAATCTAATCGCCAGAGATTAATATATTCGGAAGATAGCAATTAGAATTCCATGCGTTCTACCTTACGCTTTCAGCTATTTTTTTAAATCGGTGTGTACTTCGATACGGTTTACCAAGGAAAAAACTGACAATCGGCAACCAAAAATCAAGGTCCTGGCAATCTGCGCGGGAAATTGGGTGGTTAAATTCCATAAATAGATCAAAATTAACTTCCCCCAGAAGAATAAATCCCAAGTCAATAATATTTCCTACAAATATCTATATTCAGGTCAAAATTCGCACGTATAGGGCCAAGTGCAAGTAAAACACATAAGGCAACTCTTACCTTGAATAAAGATAGCCGTTGACGCCAAGAAGTGAACTCAGTTATCGCACCGAATTCTGAAAAGAATCAAAGAAAATTCCCAAGTCGCATCTCTGCCACCAATGAAAAATTCTTACCTCAGTCCGTTCGTAAGTTTGTTTGGATATTGAGGATTATTCTGGAGAAACTCCCAACTGTGTCAGCTGTTTGTTTAGTAGACATTCCGCTTCTTTTATATGTACTGCTCAGAACTATCTATGGAAGAGCAACCTTTTGAAGCTACACGTTTGGGAGTGAAAACTAACAGTCAGAGAGTGCATAGTTTTACCTTCTTTTATCTAACGAGCGAGGAAGGCATTTGTTTTTAAAACGTTCCTATCTGTAATATGGGAAAGCTTTTAATTTCGAAAAAAGTGTGGAATTGGTCCTAAGGAAATGTAAACTCAGAGAATTCTCACCGCAAAATTTGCTGACCAAAATAAAGGCATTGATCGTAATTAGGATACCAAAGAGGGAAGACTGGCTCTGCTAGTACTGGCATACAAGCATTACGTTCCACTTATTTTATTTAATAAAAGAGAGCAATAACAAGATTTTATTTTTTAACAAAAAATACAGCATAAAAATTAAACTTTTATTCCGGCAGCAAACGCCATTTTGTAAAAGTGACCGTCCTTATTATTTAAAAGTACTTGTGGGTTGTCAAACTCTAAAATTTGACCTAAATCCATAACTAAAATTCGATCAGCCTCCATAACGGTGTTTATCCTATGCGCTATGGTAATAACTGTACAGTCTTGGAACCTTCGCTTTATGGTAGATTGAATTAGGTTGTCTGTTTTCTGGTCCATATTTGCAGTGGCCTCGTCAAGCACTAAGATCTTATTATTTCTCACAATGGCTCTCGCTAAACAAATAAGTTGTCTCTGTCCGATGCTGAAGTTGGCTCCTCCGTCTCTGATATCATACTCTAGGTCTGGTATGCTCGATTTCATATCAACTTCTTCCAAAGCGGACCATAGGTCATTATCGGAGTAAAAATTATAAGGATCTAGATTGCTTCGAATTGTTCCAGTGAATAGCACAGGGTCCTGTGGTATAATAGAGATTTGAGATCGTAGCAGTGGCATTGAGAGAGAGTTTATATCGACACCGTCAATAGTTATCGTCCCTCTGAAGTCGTACAGTCTAAACAATGTCGATATTATTGAAGTTTTACCGGCACCAGTTCTGCCCACGACTCCAATTTTAAATTTGGAACTAATTTCGAATGAAATATCCTTTAAAACTCTTTCACTTGTAGGGAAATAGCGTAGAGAAACATTTGTGAAAGTTATTTTTCCATTAGTGGGCCATTTCTTCGGATTATCTCCAGATTGATCCTCCTGCTCGACTTTCTCATACTCCAACACCCTCTCCGTGGATGTCATGTTATTTTCGAGATTTGCCCATTGGCGGACGCCCCATTGCAAAATTCCCGTTAAGTACACCGCCTGCGTGATCACCAGCCCGACTGTACCAGCGATGCTATCTGAGGAGGTCCGTTCAGAGTGATCATGGGTCTAGTCTATACTTACCGATGCGAAATATCAAAAATGAGAGGACCACAATCGCTATGTAAATGCAACAGATGAAGTCCAAGTAAAACCCGAGCGCTCTCGAGATCGTAACATTTACAAAGACTACTGAATTGTACAGGTTTTGATGCCGATCGAATTCGTCCTTCAAAACCTTCTCAGCCTTGCTCGCCCGTATCGTTGTTAATCCCTCTAGGGTTGCGTTCAGTTGTCCGATTAGAGGACTCCTTGCTGCAATAGTCCACCTGTATGATTTCACAACTGAATATTTTCAGTACTCACTTGCTCCTTCCAATCTTCGCATGCTTCTACTGGTTGAAATGTAAAGCCAGCGCGCCACAGCCATTATGATTAACAGTATCGTGGAAGGTATTAGGAACCAGGGGTTGACTGTTGATATTACAAATAATATTGATACCAACGTGATCAGTATCTGCAATGTAACATGTGTTAATTTTGAATTCCTTTGAGATTCAAACTAGAGCTCTAAAATAGAACATAGATGATGTCGGGTGTTTTCAATTAAATGAGAACTATGTAGGTATGTGTTAAGTTATCGTATGAAAAAGTGTGTGTTAGAGAGTTGTTGCGACCTTCGATAAAAAACACAAACACCTCAGCAAAGTTATACACTTTGGAAGCAGCCTAGACTCCCTGTAACGGACTTCGTATCACTTACGGCTTCCGAGATCCCAATAGTCAACCGTGAATTTGAGAAACAGTGTACAGTTTGTTAGTATTTAAGATAGTGCGTGTGTGAATCATCCACTCTCTCACGACTTGGGGGAGGTAAGTTGTCACTACGAATGAATTGTTCAGCTAGCTCAACAGATCTTTTCCTTATCTCAACGAATGTTCATTGTGTCAGCACGTACAACAGAATTTACAGGATTTGGATGATGTACGTTACAATCGTTACACAAATATGGCGAAATAGTGAAGACCTTTAAACAAAATTGCTAATCTCAGTTTCAGTGGTAGTTTTTAGCTCATGCCGATCCCAACTTTGTGAAACAACGAAATATATTTTTCTAGAGAAATAAAACTAAACAACGGCAAGGCAGCCGCAGTCCTAGCGCTGAAATTTGGGTGGATGAATGGAGTGAAAAGATTTTTTGGGTGCGCGCTGATCAAAGCTGCCATTCATTATACGAGACCTTGAAACTTGTATCGACTTTACTTTTCAACAGTGGGATCAATCATTTGGATCAACGAGTAATTCGAGTCTAAACGTCAAGGGACCTTGTCATTAGTACTGCTGTATCTTCAGATTGTACCTGAATTATATTTTTAAATAACCATATAAACAAAATTTGCACTACCAATCGTAACAGTAAATAGATAATTTCTCATTTGTTAATTGAAATTTAAACGAAGTTAGACGGGATTTTCAGTTTCGCGTCGTGAACGTGAACGAATGCGCATACCTATTCATGATTCATTCGGAGAAGACGCGCCGAGGTACGCAACACGAACTTGAAGTATATATATATATTTACATGTGGCGTTAATTTTAAGAAAATTTAGTGTCTATAGTGCTAAATATTGTTCCATAAGTGCTTTTCCATACACATCAACAATAGATCAACGTTTACAACAAATTTCAACACCAAACAAGTAGATTAGAATAAGTATTTCCTTTGACTTATTTACTTTCCATTTCGCCGTCATAATCTGCTTTCGTCGTTCTACTTTCCCATAATTCTTTGGAAACCGGAGTTGTTTACGTGCATGTACAACTACATGTACACTAGCTGGTTCAAGATACGGTATGTTTTACATTACTGAATGAATTGTTTCCCCATTTCGCTGAGCAATCGTTTATATCGTTTGCGCGTAAGATTTCGGGTTAATTCTAGTTCAATTTATCATTAGAGTATGTGTTTTAAATTTAAGATAGGCTTTTCAGTAAGGATTCCAAACTTGAGTTGTTTATTTTATCTAAATTGTAACCTATAACGTTTGCATCATAAATACAGCAGACGATGTATTACCGAATTTGACAGTACCTATGTATTGATCTAAAAGTATAATTCAGGTAACGCATGGATTTTGAACTTGATGCGATATTTAAATTTCGCGCTTTATACGAGCACAACATAACATAACAGGTATTTGGATAGGTAAAGCAAAAAAGCTACATTTTATACTACGAAATTAATAACCTACGGACCAACTACAAGTCAACGAGTCAGTAAATATAATTAAACAGTACCGGACCGACATGGGGGTAACATTTTGAACCCTATTACACATCGTGATCAAACATCACAGTATATAAGGTTTTCATTTTTTTAATTCAAGGCAGTACCGTTTGTTTAAGGGTTTGCATATTGGGATTGTTATCAGTAAGGGAGAACTCTTAAAGACTCGGTCACTGACTTTAGAAAAAATCAAAAATCAAATTGTGGAGAAGTGTTCCATATGTAGAAGGAAGCAAGTTTTTTTTTCATGAAATTTATTACTAGATATCGAGAATCCTCCAGTCTAGTTCATTTTATTTTTAACATTGTCAACTGTTAGTAAAGGGTATAGTAACCATTTTCATTATAACTCACGGATGCGTTAAGTCTGTAGTTTTAAAAAAGTGGCAACTTTGTACAACTTCAGGCAAATTAACATTATTCTTTGTGAAAATGAATGCACAATTTTTTTTTAATTGTGAAAATTTTGAAATTTAGATTTTGTCTTTATGCGACCAAGTGATCTGATATCAAAAATGCGACGATTTTAATTTAAGCCTCGGGAGGAAAAAAGGTTCATACTCTTCAAAAAATTCGTTTAACAGATTTGTTTTTATTGAGATAGCAGTTGGTACAAACGTGCAAGAAAGAAAAAAATCAAACAAACTTTTAGCACGAGAAGGCGTTTCATTTCTACTTTTATAACTAGGAGAGGAATGTTGTGATAATCAAGAATGGCTGGTAATGATTCATATAAGTAGTTTGGCAATTTCCGACAGCACTTTATTTAAAAGTGTTTAAAAACCTTAATAGGTACTTGACTTGATATCAAGTAATTTCAAGATACTTAATTACTTAATACGTGTAAGTAATGTACAAAGCCGTTGGCTCATATTAACGAAAAATTGAGTGAGATTGCGGAAAAGGTGCAGTTTGGATTCTGGATGGTAGAGAAGACGGCGAGCGAATACCCTCGCGAGTATAGTCGTCTTGGCCACCCGGTACATGAACGCACGATATCGAGACGTGATATAAATTTGGGGCACTTCGTGACGAGAAACTGTGGTTTCTGGACACATCGGCCAGCTACTGTGTTTCTCACTGCAATATGCCCTAAACGTCCTTCCCAACTCTCTCATCACCCGTTCCGCTGGATTTGACTGAGGGTGATATACTGCCGAAAATCTTACCGCAATCCCTTGTTCTTCCAAGGAGGTCTTCCACAGCTCACTTGTGAACTGCGTCGCATGGTCCGATAGCAATTGTTCTGGCTTTCCCCGTGTCGGAATAAATCTTTGCTGGATTCTGTTCAGTAACGTTTTCGAATTCGCCTTCCGGATCGGATAGAGCTTGACAAACTTCGTGAATATGTCTCTTAATACGAAGATATAATTAACTCCTCCACGACCCATCGGCAGAGGCTCGTATAAATCTACGGCTACCAATTCTAAAGGTTGGGTGGCCACTACGTTCGGTTTTTGATTACTGGCTTTGGTTTTCTGGCACAGATCACACGAGGTTATTATCGCACGTACCTTCTTGTTCAACCCAGGTATATAGCAGGTTTCATTGAGCAAGTTTATGTACTTCTTCATTCCGAAATGGCCGTGTATAGTGTGATATTTCCATATCACTTGACTCGCTAGCTTCTCTGGTATGGAGACACGCCACCATTCTTCCCCCTTCTTTGCACTTGCGAAGAGAGAGACCGCTTTCTATGGGATAATTTCGACTCAACTCTTCTCCCTTGCCTGCTTCGTTCGTTTTTATTTCACGCCGTATCCAGCTAAGATCGGTGTCTTCTTTTTGTTCTGTGGGTAGCTCCTTCATCAGTCGCTTGAGTTCTCTACTCTGAACTTTTCCTATGGTTAATAATCGATCATTCTTGCCTGCGTTATGAGTACCGAGTTAAAAAGTCGGCTACCACATTATTTTTACCTCTGCAGTATTGGATTTTCAACTGGTATTCCTGTAAGTACAGGCACCATCGCATTAATCTCACTCAATGCCTTGCATGTAAATAAAAATTCAAGGGCCTTGTGGTCAGTCAGTATGGTTGTTGCATACCCAAGGATGTAGGTCCTAAACTTTCTACATGCGAATGTTCGGTAACCATATACGACTTCTCTGCGGCTACCAGAGCTCGACTGGCAAATGCTATTGTTTGGACTTCGCCTTCTTGTGTCACCTGAAACAAATGCACCCCCAAGGCCGATGTTGATGCATCAGTTGCCTCAAAAAATTGTCGCGAAAAGTCGGGATGTGCTAAACGCGTTGCGTGCATGAGATCTTCTTTGATTTGTTGAAATGCCATCTGGCGCTCTGTTTTCCACTCCCACTTGTTCTTTTTCAGTAATGACGAGAACGAAGTTACCGTTTCGGAATGGTTCTGCACAAATCGTCTGTCGTAGTTGCACACTCCTAAGAAGGATTGAAATTCTTTCTTGTTCCTAAGCCTAAGCCAAACTTGTTCTATAGCTTGCACCTTCTCTGGGTCCACTCCTATCCCTAACGGTGTGAGGATATGGCCCAAAAACTTTATACCTCCTCTCAGAAATTCCGACTTGTCGTATTTCACCGTCATGTTAGCGTTAGAGAGCTTTGTGAGGACCTTATCTAAATGTTCGGCATGTTGGTTGATATCCTTCGACGGCATTAGAATATCGTCTATATATACAGTGGCGAACGACATTACTTCTGGACCTAAAACTTGGAGCACTTGTTGAAAACAGCTACCGATATATTGAGACCAAAAGGCAACACTCGAAACTGGTAACTCTTCCCACTCACTAAAAAAGTGGTGTACTTTCTGGACTCTTCATCCAGTGGTATCTGCCAATAGCCACATGTTAAATCCAAAGACGTCAAGCATTTTATCCCATGGAATTTATGTAGCAGTTCCTCCATCACCGGTGGCGATTCCCTATCAGGTACAATAATTTTATTGATTGCCCTTGCTCCATTCTTCTTGGTAACTACCACAATGGGGTTGGAAAATGGTGACGACGACCTTTCAATCACTCCCCATTCCCTCATTCGCCGAATTTCTTCCTTCACAGCTTCCCGCTTAGAAAACGGGATTGGATACGACCTTTTAATAAATGGCGTCGCGTCCGAGGCGTTGATTTTACATGAGAAGCTGTTGCAGTAACGCGGTCTGTGCACTGTCTTCTAATTTAACAGAAATTTGGGGTACATAAAATTGGCTTTCACTTTCTTCTTGCTCTTTATCAATCGCATCAGGTGCGGGTATTACCTGGTTTACGTCCTTATTATGATTTTGAAAATATGTCTTAACTGATGTATATCAGTTGCTGCGGAGTTACCCTTAGCCGATTGAGTGGGGCGTCCAGTCGTATAAGGTGTCTAGGTCTAGTTTTCCGACTGCCTGGTGTTTCTGCGAGGACTGGCTCCTCTGCTTTGAGGACGGTCATTACCTCTTTCCCTTCTTAAGTTTGGGTTTCCCCGTTGCCAACCAACCCCATTCTCTACTCTCGGACCTCCTCTGGACCGGTCAAATATTCCATTATAGCTCCCATACTGGTTGTCGCGACTTTCTTGTCTTTCGTTGGTTCCTCGAGTATCTCTTTCCTCTAGCCTCTTCAGCACTTCCAGCAGTTCTTTCTCCACGAAGATTTTCTCCGGAATTTTTGGTTTCAGATGCTGCGTTTTATCGATTCAAAACCACACGTGGTGAGCGTATGGTATGACCCTTGATTTTTATTGTACACTCTGGGCTCATAAATTGACGCTCTTCTTCTGACCAATAGTTGTCCAGAAAATCAGCTTGAAATTGTTCAGCCACTTCCCCCTTTGTGTTTCCGCCCAGATGCGTACATCACTTTCAAGACATCCTATGGCTTCTTGCAGTCTTGTTGCTCCAGACCCTTGTATGTTTCCAAGGTATGCCTCCAGTTCGCGCATGATTCGAACGGGATGTATCGACCTCCGACTTCCTTCGAACCTTGGTTTTTCATCTATCGTTCGAATTACCGAATGGGTTACTGCCCCTCCGTTGTTTGTTTTTGTTACCATCTTGTCATCTTTAAGCTGACTTTCTAATTCGACAACGTTTCGCCGATATTCCTTTCACATCCATTTCAAGTCGATTAATAACTCTTCCTAAGTGGACGACCACCTGGTTGACTTGATCCGCGCCTTGATCCATGTCACGTCGATCATCCTGCAAAACGCGAGAAAACCCCTCTAGTTTGTCCTGCATTTGGTTGCCCAACTCTTGTTCTCTTGTTTCTAAGGGATTGATTCTGTTGTCAATTTCCTTGCCGCTTCTAGTTCTTGTTTTGGCATCATAATGCCATCGTCAACTATTTCTTTAGTATCCTCCCGAATTTGCTGCATCTTTCCATTTATTGTCGCAATTTCTCGGGTATGTTCTTCCATTTTCCCGTTAAATTGTGCACTAATCCGATCCATTTTTTCGTTGAGATCTTGTGAAATCCCTTTTATAATTTCCGCAAGTGCACTCAACTCAGATGACCTAGATCCTTGCTCTATTGTTTTGTTTTCCTAGTTGTTCTCCGGCATTTTAATTTCACCTTCCCTATACGGTTTACTCTTACCTGTGCATTAATAGTGGCAACAAGACAAATTCCTTTCGGCTCGTTTAATAATTTCTAACGATTTTCTATTCGTTCTGGCTTTTATATAATTAATTAGGTGATACCAAAATATACAATTACGAATTTGGTTGTCGCAACGTATACCGCAACTTACAAAAGAAATGACCGTCGCCGCCCCCAATTTGTTCCGTATATGGAGCTGCACCGGTGCAGGTAACCCTAACAAGTTATCCCTTGAAACTGATCTTTTCTGGGCAAAATGCGTATTTCAAAAGCCTGTCCTTTTCCGAATTCCATGCCTTTGTTATACTCGGAAAAGAACGAAATTTGCTCTTTGATAAATTAATAAATATTTAATTACGATTAGTTCGCGATAGTTAATAATCTTTGGTAAATACTCGAAAAAAAAAACGAGTTGGTTTAATGGAAGCCCCTCGGAACATTTACATTTGTCAATTTTAAATTTTATTTTATTATTTTTACGACCGATTAAAATTCCATATGTACCGCTTCATTTGAAGAGTGAAAGCGCGTAGGGTGAACAGTGATAACCATGCGCGTCCAAAAAAAGCTTGAGCTCTGCGGTAATAAAGGCCGCTTTACATACTGCAATTCTTCATGCAAGACCATGCAATACGCAATAAAACTTGCCCAGAAGCATGCGCGTTTGAGAAACAGCTGATTCATTTTGGCAATTCACTTGCAATTGCAGGTTAGCGGTCGCGCGCGATTTTTATTGCACTTGCACGTGATATTTTGGGGGAAAGTATTGACAACGCCAGGTTCTAGAATTCCCAAACGTTGAAACTAGACTTTGTTTACTATTACTACACAAATTGAAGCTGCGACTGCCTTTTTTCGATTAAAGTGTCTATTCATTTTTACTCAAAACGCATTCAGAATTATAACAACACCTGATGAATTTTGAATAGAATAAAGCTTTTAGTTCAATTTTAAATGCGAATGTTGGTAACAAACTATTGCAAAAAGAAAATTGCCGCGTGTAAAACCAAAGTGCAATAATTATTGCATGTACAGTATTTTTGCAATTAAACTTGCTGCAACTGTATTGCACAAAGAATTGCAGTATGTAAAGCGGCCTTAATACAAGCAAGTCGTCAACTTTGCGTCGGTTGCATTTGCACAGGCCAGCGGCAATGTAAATAGAATGAGGGCTTGCGATTGGTGGAAAAGAGAAGTGAGTCGTTAATGTTATACGGTGGTTCCGTTTTTTAAGCTCGCACAGTAATATAGGAAAAGCAGGGAAAGGAAAGGTGCAACGACCACCTGAGAGTACGGGTCTTTTGTGGGAAGTTTAATTGCAGAAGAAGCGGAAAAATAAGGAAGTAAACGTTAGGGGAAGCACAGTGGAAGATTAAGTGTGTACTTCTAGAAAGTGCGGGGTGTTGTGGTATTAATAAAAACTAGAATTTCAAGCGTGCCGGTGTATTTGTGTGTGAACAAGACGAAGCACAAGGGACGAGCGACGGAGAAACTAAGTTTATTGCAGTAAGCGCATTTCTTTTAATTCGCAATGAGTAATTAGTAACTTCATACTCGTGACGCTGAATTTTTCGGCATGCGAGTTGTCTTCTATTGCAGACTTGAGTGACGACAAATTAATTTCGTTTTACAATTCCGCAAACTACAAAATGGGGAGCTATATTTTAAGTAAAATACTCTAAGCGTACACTACGTCTTCCAAACCGGGCTGAAGATGAACTCTTACCTAACCTGTGAAGTAATTTATCCGTTATTAACAAAGACGAACCTTGACCTAAGGAAAGCCGTATAATACCAGTAAGGAAATCTTTTCAATCTGGGCGGGCCGTAAGGAAAATTTATCTACACATTACGGAACATTGTAATATTCTGTAAAGTTAATACGAATACGAGCCTTAAACCTAGGGGAGAATTTTGAATCAAGACGACTATGGAGATCGATGCTGCCTCAGGTTAAGACGCATTAGAAGGTATTGTACAATTTCGAGAGAGCTAGTCGGTGCAATCCATATTTCGATTAATTAAATTAAAATAATTTTACTCCCTCCCTACATTTTAATACTCAACTGTAGGGTTTAAAAATAAGTACCGTTACATTGGATTGAAAATGCGATTTCGAGGATTATTTTTTCTTGCAGAAGAGAACACTTGAATCTTCCTTCACTTCCCTAAACCGCACGGTAGCTTTGCAAAAAGTTTTGGGCAAAATTCGCCCGTAGTGTTGCTTTACAAGTCATGAGCACGCAGCGTCGCCGTCCATTTGGAAATAAAGCCGCCATATGGATCTTTCCTGATAGCGATAAGCAGTTACAGAAATGCTAAAATGTGACAACCCATTTATTCAAGATATCAGTGTAATGTACAAAAAACAACGTTGCACCTTGGCGACGCCGTCTTGCCTTGGCGCTTTAATCACCGTCCATGCGTGACTGATACCCAGCCTAGTTTTTATACAACGATATAAGTCGTAGGCGAAGTACACGACGAGCAGTCTCGAGTTGTTCAATACAATCGAATGTGGCATACTGATATTATTTACTCTAGTATGTAAATAAATACACATAAGAAACATTGTTTAGAGTTGTTTAATTTAAAACGTTAACCCAGAAATTTGTCCAAAAATAATTTCCGTTTCGCAACACATTTGCTTAAGAATTGTGAAAATCTTACTGATTAAAGTACCTAATCTTTAATGAGTACTTAGCAGATTTTTGCGTGTACTTGTCAACAGATAGATAAAATCGTAACAGATTGCATGTGTACACCTTTACTAGGTAACTAGCATTGTATTTCATTTACTCTTAAAAATTAAGCTTCTTCCAAAGAGCTTGGTCAAACATTCCAAACTGTTATCAGTGTATCATGTCATAATTTCGTGTCAATCACCTATGGTCTAAATCAGCGATTCTCAACCTTTTTGTAATCGCGACCCCATATTTTCAGGGTCTGATGACCGCGACCCCCTAGTACTTAATCCTATTGTTAATGCCATTGAGGAACCCAGTTAAATGAACTATACTTACACATGAACAACTTTTGTATGCACTTTGCATTTTGTTGAATTCGGAATTGAAATCGAAATTATCTTGCCTGTCCTGTACCTACCTACCGCGACCCTCAAAAATCTACGTGCGACCCCCAGGTTCAGAATCGCTGGTCTAAATGAAGTTCAAGCCATACAATGGATTAGACGTTTGATTTTGATTTTCGACGGGGAGGTATAAAATGTAGCCAAATTTCAAAATACTTACCGATACAAATTCAAAGATGTTCATCGGAAGTCCTTCATCTATTATTCCCAAATCACGTGAAAATCGATTTATAATGTTTCCCGATAGATTGACATCAAAGAATTTCATACAGGCGTTCACGACGCTATTCAAAATGATTCTGTGTATATTTTTGGCCGCTTGACTGAAGAAGTAAATAAAGGCTGCGGATTTTGTTATGAACATAAGGAATATTCCAATTATAGCAAAAGAATAGTTGGTTAAAATTGTGTTCCTCGTAGATTCCAAATTTTGATAGTCCTCCGACGCTGTGGTCTGATTTATTCGGGACATAGACATTTTATGTTCCACATCCACCCTAAAACAATTACTGATATTTTCTAGTTTTCGTCATTTACGCTTACCAGTCGCTTACAAAATAGTCGGCCGAAGTGTAAATAGCTTGTGCCGCTATGGAGAATCCGATGACAAATATAAACACCTTTGCACCTCCAGCTACGCGAATATAGCTGAAGTAGACATCTTTAGTTACTGTCCCCTTATTTGTAAATTCAGCATAGATGTTTTTGGTCAACGTGGGTAGTAACGTACTTTCCTCCCCCTCTTCGAGTTCCTCATACGCCATCAGTTCCTTTACATCATCGTGTTGATGATTGACGGTTATCTCATTCCGATTTCCCATGAAACTGGGCACGTAATCGATGGAATTTATTAGATTTTTGTAGCCCCCTTGGAAGGCAATGCGTCCACCATCTAACAAGATAATGTTTGTAGCCCTGCTTAGAAAATATTCTTTAAACGTAATTAAAATCCAGATCTTTCCACTTAAAAATTTGTTCAAATTTTGAAATATCGCGTTCGCCACGTGATCGTCAACGGACGACAGGCAGTCATCCAGCAAATAAATATCTGCAGATTTGTAAATTGCGCGTGCTAAATTAATTCGCATCTTTTGCCCCCTGCTCAAATTGAGACCTTTATCAATGACACGCGTTTGGTCACCGTCGGGAAACACGCGTATGTCTTTCTCTAGTTCACACACCCTTATCACGTCATAATAGCGCTGCTTGTCAAATGCTTCGTTAAAAATTATATTCTGCTTGACCGTACTTGGAAATAACCAAGGTTCTTGTGAGGAATACGAACATGTTCCGGTGATTTCAACCGAGCCACCAGCTTCAAACACATCCCCAAGCATCAACTTCATCAAAGTGGATTTACCTGATCCAACCATACCACTTAGAACTGTCAAGCCGGGGTTCACTTCTAACGTTATATCTTTGATTATGTCGTTCCCGTCGCTTCCAAGGACATGTGCCCGTTTCAACATAATTTTTGGAGTAGTTCCAATCACCTGCTTCGCAATAACGGCGGTTTGCACTTCTTCCATGAGCAAAAACTTATTAATCCTCTGAACTGACCCAAACGCCTCCAAAACGGTTGATATTGCTCCCGGTATAAAATGGACTAATATTGGAGATAACACACCGAAACATCCCGTTACTACGAATGCCTTTTCGGCGGTTACATTATTTCCCATGGCCGTGTACGACATGATGGCGATATACAAACTAAATTTGGAAACAACACTCGCTAAGCCGTAAGAGAAGGTTTTCAAAATTGACAAAACCCTCCAATCGAATATCTCCTTTCTGGAAATCGAAGCTTTAAGATGAAAAATCAAGAGAGACTTCGACTTACGTTCTTTGGTCTTGGATTTTTCTGAGAAAAAATGATTCCCAGGTGTACATTTTAATAGTTCGTAATGCAGTTATTACCTCTTGGGTGGTTCTAACTCTCTGATCCGTTTTTTCCCCGGTTCTCTTCCGGAACTTACCGATGGTCCTTCCGATGATCACTAGGTTATAAATTGTATAACCGCATTTCTACGTTAAGACATTATACTCACTTTGTATGGGCAGAGACAGAAGAAAGACCCCGGTACCGATCAGTGCCGAAACTTCCAGTTCTTGGTACATAATCCACGTTAGTATAATCACTTGAATTCCTCCCACCCAGAAGTGATTTGCAATGTGGCACGCTTCGTCTAAAGTTAACAGGTCCTTCGTGATTAAGGTGATGACGTCTCCAGTTTTTTTCCCCGATGTCGCTGTTAGTTTAAGCTTGAGCGACTTTCTGTAGATCAATCCCGCTATTGCCACCTTAATCTTCAAACCGATCTTCTCATTGGCGAAGAAATAGTAATGCAGCAACAATGTGTAAAGCGCAGTGAATCCCACTAAACCTCCGCCGTAATAATAAGCATCCGTCTCTGTTAGCTCAGTTTGGTTTGGGCTGAAGTAGGAAACAAATTTTCCTTTCAAACGTGGTCTAAGTAAGCTACAAACGCAAGTTATAAAACGAAAGCGTTCGTAAAGACTTACGATCCGGAACAACTCATGGCCAGGTAACATAAACCGTAGAATAAATAAATGGGACCGTATATTTTCAGAACTGGCATATAAATGGTTGGCTTCTTTTTCTTTTTCTCTATATTCCATTCTTGTTCCAAGCGATCAGTCAAAGGAGCAGCGTCGAACTGTTTCCCGATTCCGTAGAGATTTTCTTCTTCAAAATCCTTCCTTAGTCCTTCTCTCAACGTACTCCAAACATACCTGCTTTGTATGTTACGAATTAGGTTTACCAACTGCTGACACTTACCCAAAAGAAATCTTGGAGAGAATGCCCGCCTTTTCCAATGGATTGGGCCTTCTGTTAATATTACCGGACACATCCATGTCAGTTGTGCTACGGTGAGGTATAACGATGCATTGTCTATAATTAATAAGTGTTACTATCTTATGCGATATGAAATCACATTACGATAAGTAATTAGGAATAAATGAGAGTAGAACACCCGCCCTGAGGATATTACTAGTTAAGTGGGCAGCGCAAACTATTTTCCCTGGTATAACTTTTGTCGATTCAAATAGTTCACCCTCAAAGCGATGTTATTTAACTTATCGTGGAGAAATACTGGATAGTGTTGTTTAAGTATCTAACAATCATTAAATCAATATATGATACCTGAAATGTAATTGAACCTTATGCTTGTTCTATACGTTTAGAAAAAATTATTGACACTTCCACAGTCCTGCGTTGTTTACTTAAAATTTAATATCGGTTAAAAACGCTCTCCATTGACCTAAATGCACTTACTGTTTCATCGGAAGTGATAATTGAATGTAGAGCTGTGTGTGAGATGCATATTAAGGAGAAGCCAAATTGATTTCAATTAATCTTCCTTGAGTTATGTTAGTTACACCGAGTTCTGCGCAGAAAAATTCTTGCACTTGAATGCCTGATTACCTATTACGGTATTCCCTTGACGATTACAATAATAAAGTATTCTACGTACCTACTTCATGTAGATACCATGAAGTAAATAACAAGATGTTTTTTTTAATCCTTGATGACTATTACGCCTTATAGACCTCGAGAGTTTTAATTTTTAAGATCATTCTTTCTAAAAACAGAAAGTTGAAAAATGTTTTACTTGTATAATAACGAATACCCCTTATTACAGGTTAGCAACACTGTACGTTCTTTAGAACTAATATTTATTTCCAAAAATGTCACTTGTTCGTGTTCCTTTGCAGCAATTGTATCCTGTTGTTTATTCTAACCCAAAAAACTATTTACTACCGTGGACATACGAATTCTACACATTTCTACCGTCCAATTCTTCCAAACCGATACCTATTTTATCAAATTTTTAATTTTTGCTCCACCTCAACAAGATCCGGCCCATCAGCTGTTTATTGAAACCATGATCATCATTGACATCTGGTTATTTGATGATGATTTTTAGGGGATTGGAAAGAAAAAAATTACTCTTACGTCCGTCCGGCCGTGTGTTCCTCGTCTAACTCTAGAACGAAAAAAGATAGCGATGTTAAATCACGAGTTGAAGGATCAATTATACGATTGAGCCGAATGCGAGGCGATTTAATTAGGTATGAATGATGCACAAACGATCCATTGCGCGGTGAAGATTTTTCCAGCTTCGTGAATATGTAACGTGTTCAATTGAAAGTTTACTAACCAAAAATACGCTCATATCTAAGAGATCTTTCCGTATTCCACTCCAATAAAAAATTATAAACGGAAAATCGCGCGACACCTAATGCTGGGACTGATCTCGAATCTCAACTACAGGTTGGCAAATCCAAAACAAGACCCATTGTTGCCCGTCTCAGGGGCCAGACTGCTAACACAAAACTCTTTGGTTCAGAATCTATGTGCGATATATGTGTTGCGATTCACTAATTTTCATATATTTGTTTGATTAGTGAGGCCATGTACTTTCCTTTCAGTTTCCCCAAACGATTTACTGTTTCTTTTAATTATTCCAATTAACTTTTTTTGAGGTCATTAATCAAAGGTCGAGATTATCGAATAATTGCACTTGGTATTGAATTAACTAATTTAGACTAATATTTGACCATGATATGTTTCATTGTTTTGTTGCAAAGTTAATTAACTTAAAACTCCTTGCACTATTTGAACCGGGTAATAATGAATATTAATATTTAGTAGAGTGGATATAGTAATATGTGATATACCTACTCGATTTTGATAATGTCGAATTGAGCGTTTCATGTAAATGTGCCTATAATCCACCTGGCTCACGTGAGAGGTATATTTATGTGTAGGTACTTGTGTTTATGTGTCTTAGAAAAGGACCACCTCGTGGATATTGCTAATCGATTCTTTGCGTTGACCCGTGACATGTAATGATAATGACTGAATATTGGTTTTGTGTCAACGTCAGTGCAAATATGTCACCTCTATGTCTATGGCTGCTCTGTTAACATAATTTTATCCAAAATCGTCCTGAAACCTTCATTTTCAGGCCTACTTTCTGTCAGGAAATTTTAGTTTCCATGACGGTGGCAGAGCAGACTACGTTTCCTGCCGCTTGTCGCTTTACTGGCCGCACCTGTCACTTTACCGGTCGCATTTTTGACATTTCCAAATGTATATAATGACTCCTGTCATCACTGACAGATTAACATTAAACAAAAAGTTTTATATAAAAATTGAAATTTTATATTAAAAGACGATTTCGGATAAAATTTAATACAAAACTCGTTAGTAAAATGTCATTACCTAACTCGGCAATATTTCCTCGCCAGTAATGTATCATTTTTCTGACTTTTATGTAAATAACTATTATGTTACGCATTCATGTCATTACAAACGATTAACTTGCTATAAAGCTTAATATCAATTTGTCGGCTTGTTTTTTTCTTAGTAAGTTCTTTTTTTTCCAGACTATTTTCATTCAGTGAACTACCATTTTCAAAGTTTATTCTTGCAATGCAGTTTATTTTGTCACAATGTAATTTTAACGGAGATAAGTGAGAATAGTTGTTTGAATATATTGACCACACAATGCAGTGCTCGCCTAGATAAACACTTAATTTCTTAGGAACTTTTTCATGAGCGCGCTGGTCGTTTTTTGGGCGTAACTTATTTCGGACAGGGGCCCCTGACGCTTTTTTAGTCTATTGCTTGTAATGAAGTTCTCCTACTTAAAGCTACCTGCGCTGAAGAACACCCGGTATATGGACTCGACGTGGAAATGCTTTGTTACGCAGGCCATTGTCCCCGTAGAGATAGGTACCAATAACCAGCGTTATATTCTTGACCTCGCCGCTTGCACTTAAATTCCAATTAAAAAAGTGTTCATTGGATTAACGAATATTGCAGTTGGGATGCGCTCAATTGAGTAAGAATAATTACGATTGACATTTAAATGAGTTACAGAAAAACTTGAATTTTGACGCCGGTCCGGCATTTTTTCGATGTCGGGAAAAATAGAAAACGTACTATGAAATAGAATATTTTGCTTTTAGCATCGTCGCCAGTTACGTTGTGTAAATACCGAAATTTATAGCTTTTCCGTAAATTTATATTTGGAACCGTAAAGTGTTTAAATCTTATCATTCAACAGTAGCCGCCCACCGCCTGCCCTTTAGAATTCCTGGGACCGCAGATCTCTGTTCGAGTTACCAGGAGCACTTAACTATCGCCGCCGTTCCATTATGACATGCAGCAGGTTTCCGAAAACCTTCTGGTGGCATCCGAAGCCCTCCGTCCGTCCACCCGTTCGTTAGTTGCGACAAACTTGGGCAGCTCGCGCACAGTTGGTGAGCATTCGAAATAAAAAATAATAAAAGTCGAATAGTTTATTAGTGTCTAATTAAAACGACGATAAGTATACAAATTATATGGCAAGTAACATCCACGGCGGTAGTCGGCGGCAACCAGTTGTCGGCGGGAGACCGCGAAACGGTGGCGGTCGAGGTCGGCGGTAGCCACGGACGGATAGGTCGGTCTCGGTAGCCTCTGGGGCACTTTCAATCGGAGAAACGGTAGCTCCAGGAATCCGGCGGTCACTTCGGTAACTAAAACAAACTTAAAGCCCAACCGGCAAATTTCCTGGAGGACGGAAAGCAATTAAGCACGGTCAAAGTAGCGGCTTCTACGAAAACAATTAGGTACGGGAAAACGTACCTTGCGAAAATTAAAAGAGCAGAAAATGAAAAACAAACCTGATGTACCTACCGTACGGCAAGAAAAATGGCAATAGTATATTTCATTAGGAGTCCGGAAAGCAGGCTTTTTCCGTGCGCACGTGGCAAATTCCATGTCATGCAAGCACGGAAAAAGCATTTCTGGATGTGTAATGAACGATATTTTTTATTATACTTCTTTTAAATCGATAACATAAAAAACAACAAACTCGCTAACATTTGTATTTTGTAACAGTTATAGAAAATGCGTTTTCATGGTTACTCTCAAATCATTTCAAAGGCGATTTGTTTAATTAGTTTATTTCAGATCAGGTTGACGTCAAAAAATGACAAATTCTCAAAGAAGTTTATCTATCTTCCCTGTAAATTTGTATTTTATAGCAATATTTTGGGTATTTATATTCAGCGCACGGAAAGAATCAAAGGGATCGGGAAAAGTTTTTCCGTGCGCTAGCCTGAAAAAGGCCAGATACCATTATTTCTAATACAGGTGTAAATAAGGTGATTTCAATGAAGTACAATAAAAAAGATTTTTTCTACAACAGTCAAAAAAACCTGTCATTTTTTGACGAATTTCGAAACGCGTAGCACTAGATTTTTAAACGGTTAATTAACAAGTAAAGTATATCAGTCAAATGCGCGAAATAACTTCGCGCTAGCGTTATATAGGTACAATAATTTTTCTACAACTGTCAAAAAAACCTGTCATTTTCTGACGGATTTCGAAACGCGAAGTACTAGATTTTTAAACTGTTAATTAATAAGTAAGGTTGCTATTGACAACGTGCGCGAAATCGTCAACAGTGAAAAAAAGTATTTCGCGCACGTGAAAAAGTTGAACTTAAACAGCAAATTTAATTAACAATCGGTTCAGTTGTAGAAAATAGTTATTTATATAACAAGAGCGCGAAGTTCAATTTCGCGCATTGAGACTGAAGGTATTTTGACGAGGCGAAGCCGAGTCAAAATATCAGTCAAATGCGCGAAATAACGTCACGCTAGCGTTATATACAATATTTTTTCTACAACTGAACCGATTGTTAATTAAAATTGCTGTTTAAGTTCAACTTTGTCACGTGCGCGAAATACTTTTTTTCACTGTTGACGATTTCGCGCACGTTGTCAAGAGCAACCTTACTTATTAATTAACAGTTTAAAAATCTAGTACTTCGCGTTTCGAAATCCGTCAGAAAATGACAGGTTTTTTTGACAGTTGTAGAAAAAATATTGTACCTATATAACGCTAGCGCGAAGTTATTTCGCGCATTTGACTGATATACCTTCAGTCTCAATGCGCGAAATTGAACTTCGCGCTCTTGTCATATAAATAACTATTACGGAAAAAATGGCGGTA